ATTTTAAGCAGTGATAAGTTTTTTTTTAAATTAATTTTTGTAAATTTAATAAATTTAAGTAATGTTGTTTAAGACATATATTGTAATTATTATACAAAAAATTATTTTAATTCTATTAACTATCTAATTAAAGAACTTTACATAATATTGATATTAAAAATAAAATTTATTTTTTTAATTTTTTATATAAATTAATAATAAAAATATTTTAAAAATACACTTTTAAAAAAAATCTTAATATCAATTACTAATTAGTACCAACTCAACACTGATGTTGGATAAAAAATATCACCTTATTGTCATATACATTGAGGGGCTGATTTGTGTTTGTTTTTAGTTGAGGGGTTGATTTGCCACCTTTTACTGAGTACAGGGGCTGATTTGCCATCATTCACTGAGTACAAGGGCTGATTTACCTTTTTGCTTTTTTTTTTTTTTTAAGATTTGAATTGTCCGTGTAATTTCGGTGTACTAGCCCGCTAAGTAAAATACCAGTTGGCATACTAAAATTTGATAAAAAAACTGAAATTTGACTAAAATAAAATTTAATCTTATATCATTTTGGTTTAATTTAAAAATCGATACGTATCGACCATATCAGTCAATACGAAACAGATTTAACTACTTTGATCACACCTCAAGTTTTATGCAAATAAACTCACAAACGTCTTTAGATATCTATCCAAAGCTAAGGAGATTAAAAAACCCTCTAACACTTCAATGTTAAAAGGTTAGAATATAAAAATTACCATCATGCTCAAAGAATCTAAATGTTGCAGCGAGACTTGATCCATCACATTACAAAACAAAATAAACCCCCTCGATTAGAGGAATGACACTGTATTAAAGACAACACAAAATCCCACTTACAAGGGTATAAAACCATCTCATAGGACCAACGAGGGGTTGGATCAAGTGGTAAGCGGTTTGTTTCAGTTTAAGTAAGATCTTGAGTTCAAGATCTTGTGAATGCAGCAGTTCTCGCTTGGAGATTCATCCACTATTTTCAGATGCGCGACGCGGGTCGGGTCCGGATTAGTCGGGATGAAACCTCGGATACCAGACGGAAAACCAAAAATAAAATAAAAAAACCATCCCATAGGATGATACAAACCCTCACAACTGGAGGGACAAAGTTGCATCAAAAGATGGCACAAACCCTCACAAATAGAAGGATGAAGCAACATATACAAAAGAATGGACAAAAAATAATAAAAAAATCCCACCGCTAGATAGAC